TGCCATGCAGAAATGGGATTAAATGACCTGGAGGTATAAGCACAATGCGGGCCGCGTGAGCGAAAATTACACTTGCATAGCTCATGCCCGTGCCTATGCAAGTTTTGTAGAGTATCAGTTCCTTACGAAGAGTAGTTCATTGACTACTAAATCAATAATGCGAACATTTTAAAAATACATAATCTATTCGCAATATTCTTCATATTTTCCAATGTTTTATAAGCTCCAACGATTTTATTTTTCAATTCGCCGCCACGAAAATTATAAGAAATTTCAAATTAATATCCCGTGATTTATTGACCTCATTATGTCATATACTATTACAAGTTACTACAATAACACTCCATAAAACGAAACAGTCTGCGGCCAAATACACAAACGTCCATAGTTCACATTCCCGTTTATATATTATTTACGATTTGTAAGACGTATATGGCGAAAACGCATACAAGTTAATAAAGCTCGTGTCAGGCTGAATACTAGTGTTGTAATTACGTTTATATCCAAGGGTTTTTGTTGCTGTAGAAATTGTGTTATGTTGGTACGGAATTTTGAAATGCTCGTTGTTAATAGCTTTTTTTTTTCTTCTTTTCGTTGGGTGAATATTGGAATGATGGGTGATGAGTTCACGGGTCGGAAAGTGTATTCATCCGTCACTTGGTTTCTCTTTCGCAAGGTACACATCGGGGAGCTTAAAAGTCGTCTTTATAGGTCTCTCTAGCCGGTCCCTTAACTGGCATATGTGGACCTAAAGTACTTAAAAGTTCAAGCGATAACCCTATCCAAGCTCCCAGCTCAATAGCGACGGTTTAGCATTGAGCAAGAAAATCGCAGCCAAACGTCCGGTCACCGTCCTCGCCGAACCCGTCGCTACCGACGAAGGGCTCGACGAGTAAATTAACCCACAGACATAGCCCACTGAGTTTCTCGCCGAATCTTCTCAGTGGTTCGCGTTTCCGATCCGGTGGTAGATTCTGCGAAGCACTGCTCTTGCTAGGGACAGTGTTAGCAACATTCCCGGTTTAAGCGCGGTGAGCTCATCTGCACGTCAAGGCTCAGCTATAGGTAGGGAAAAAAAGCCGAACGTTGTGACAGTGATAAGTCGGTTCCGTTTTTTACAAATAGGATAAGGCGCCGCCCATCCCGTACGCAGCAGACAACGAGCCTGTGTTCTGTCGTGTCCAAGTCGCATATGTAGTTGTTATGATATTCAGTATTCGGGTTAGTTCCGATCTGATGCAGGTGTGATGCTATGAGTTCCGATAGCCGTGACAAGCAATGGACCGTGAACTAACTTACCTGCGCACGCAAAACGAATAAAATTAAAAAATAAACGCTGTCTATAATCCAAAGATCCAAAACGCGATTTGCAAAAGCCTAAACGTAGGTATAGATAACGTGAATAATTTATTAGATAGTTAAACAGCTAAATAAGCGGACGTCGTAAACAGTTTGGCACACATCTTTCGTTACAATCTAACTCAGTAGACTTTACATTTGCGTATTTAAATTCGCAGAGAATTTTATCGTACCAATGAAAAACGCATTTAAATAATATAATAATAATATATAATTCGGCTAGCGATCCGCCCTCGCTTCGCTTCTGAAACTGTAATTTATTATTGATTTCTCCACTAATTAGTGGATTTTATTATATATATATAAACCTTTCTTTTCAATCACTCTATCTATTAAAAAAAACCGCATCAAAATCCGTTGCGTAGTTTTAAAGATTTAAGCATACATAGGGATATAGGGACAGAGAAAGTGACTTTGTTTTATACTATGTAGTGATTATCCTCAGTCTTTACCAGTGGGTAAGCTTATAGGTTCAATCTGAAGAGAACTTGCTAACACTAGCCCTAGCAAGAGCATTGCTTCTACCGTCAGGTCAGAATCGACCCACTAAAAAGATCCGGTGAGAAACTCAGTGGGTTCTGTCTATGGCTAGTTCGCCCATCGAACTTGTGCTTGAAGAGCCTAAAAGCACCGAGAGTGGATCCGGGGGATTCGAAAAGACATGTGCATGCGTTAAATATAAATTCAAGTTCTTTGAAGGCGTCTTGGGCTAAAGGATAAGACGTCCGGTGCTTTGGTATCTAGCGATGCACCGGTGTTTGAATCCCGCAGGCGGGTACCAATTTTTCTAATGAAATATTATACGTACTTAACAAATGTTCACGATTGACTTCCACGGTGAAGGAATAACATCGTGTAATAAAAATCAAAGCCGCAAAATTATAATGTGTGTAATTACTGGTTTCAGGACCTCTTGTGAGTCCGCGCGGGTAGGTACCACCGCCCTGCCTATTTCTGCCGTGAAGCAGTAATGCGTTTCAGTTTGAAGGGTGGGGCAGCCGTTGTAACTATACCTTAGAGCTTATATCTCAAGGTGGGTGACGCATTTACGTTGTAGATGTCTATGGGCTCCAGTGACCACTTAACATAAGGTGGGCTGTGAGCTCGTCCACCCATCTAAGCAATAAAAAAAAAATCATATCGCATATAAAGTTTCGTGTGCAATATAGTGAATTAAATATGTTTCCTATGTTATGTTGTCTTTGTAGTTCTTGACTGCGTATTGTTTGATAGTAGGTCTTTAATAAATAAGACAGTTGTAGTGTTCTAATGTCACATATTCGCGTTCCAAGCGATCTGATATTAAGGCGATTAAGTTAATTCGCGTCTTCTAAATTGCGTATTGAATTAATTGCTCCTAATTACGCGAATGTTAATGATTATCGGTGCCTGTAAGATCTCCTTTAAAGTGCCTGGTTATTTTTAGTGTTCATGTTCATAATTACATTTCGTGAGGTCTCTTCAGGGGACTGGAATTGGCGTTATAGGTTTCTTTATTCGTTATCGGCGATTTTCGGCCATTGCAAACCTTAACTATCGCTCAGTATATGACAGGGGTGGCCAACTGGTAGATCGCGATCGAACAGTCGATCGTGGCAAGACAAAAAAAAAACATGGAATAGACTGCGTAACTTAATCACCAATTGCTGCACGCATCATCTTCATCTTATATCATTTGTTAATGACCATTACGTCACATTATTTATCCTCTCTTCTACACAATAGTTCTCTTTTAATATATAATTTCAGCCTTATGTTAATCTTTTTAACAAAAGAAAATATACTACTTATTAAAATAGTATATTGTATATATACCGACGCCAGGTGGGGGAGAAAAGTCCTCGAATGGAGGCCACGGATGGGTACCAGGAGCGTGGGGCGTCCTCCAACCAGGTGGACTGACGACTTAGTGCGCAAGGCGGGAAGTCGTTGGATGCGGAAGGCGGAGGATCGCATTCTGTGGAAGGCATTGGGGAAGGCCTATGTCCAGCAGTGGGCAGATAAAGGCTGATGATGATGATTTAAATATATACTGAACTACATTGTTTCATTAAATTTCAAGAAATAGCATCGGTAGACCGTAGACTGTTTCGTCAGTAAACAGTAGATCTTGGTTTTAATCAAGTTGGCCATCCCTGGTATATGAAATAAAACAGTTTTTTAAACATCGTATGACGTCCTTCGTCATCCAACGTATGAACATACATTAACGATACTGTTCCAAAATCCGTTCTTAAAGTGCTAAGGAAATTCATTCTTATTAAGCACATTCGAAGGTTAACTTTAATTTCTCAATTTCTCGTTATTTTGTTTAGTAAATTATTATTTTATCCTATACCCATTGTTTTTGGTGGTATTTTTATTTTTATTTTAGCATATCACAAGAATTGCATTGGAATAAAACAAGTGAACTTTAATATTTCAAAAATAATCTTTTTTGAAATACATAAATAATAGTTTGATGTTTTTAATGCTTTTCAGGATATTATCACAATAAATAACCCTTCTACTCATATCTGTTCATAAAATATTTATAACTACTGATACCATGCACCCCACGCTTTTTTACAATAAAATCTTTTTTCTTACACTATTTTTAATTCATATTTATAAATATTGATTTTCTATTTCTTAGTTGGATTTTCTATAAAAGGGTATTTTGTTAGTTTTTTTTAAACGATTTTCAATATTATTTTTAATTTTTTTTTTATTGTTGAATTGTCATCGGTCCTTAATAAGTATGCCATATTTTGCGTTAATCCGACGTTTTGAAGGGGGTCAAAATCATGTTCAAATATTCTGTTACATACTAATACATACTTCTTTTTCTTCTTATCAGCCCACAATAAATAAATAAAAATAATAATAATAATAATAAAAGCGTATTAAAAATCAACAGAAGCCACTCCCATTTTCGAAATAATACATTTCACGCTACCCCAAAACCATTTAGCAAGCACGAAGATACTGAGCATTTTTGTCGCAATAAAATGTTCCATATCCGAGAGGCCAGGCCCACATTCTGAGCCATGTAGAGCACAATTCCAACACGCGGTTATAATAGCACTTAGTACATGTGTGTGCGCCGCGGGTGGGCCCGCGACTAATGATGATCCGTGTGCTTAGTGTGAGTTTTTTAACATTCTCGATAACGTAAAAGTTAGCTCATATTTGTACGAAATAGGATCGTTTGCGTACGTTTGCCGCTAGGGGCGTTGAGCCCATAGACATCTACAACATAAATTCGCCACCCGCCTTGAGATATAAGTTCTAAGGTCTCAGTATAGTTACAACGGCTGCCCCATCCTTCAAACCGAAAGGCATTACTGCTTCAAGGCATAAATAGGCAGGGTGGTGGTACCTACCCGTGCGGATTCACAAGAGGTCCTACCACCAGTAAAATAATAAATCTCAGCTAATAAGTTAAAAATACAAGATTCGCTCGGTCTACACTAGCCTCATCTTGATTCATAACATAATCGGTATTCGCATCCGACAACCATATTCACACACATCACTGTATGAGATAATAGACTTGACGCATGAATTAAGCGAAATTAATTTTTGACTATGAAGAAGCAACTTTCTTGATTATCAAAACAAGTGAAAAGTGAAATTAGATCAATGAAAAATTGACTACACAAATGCGGGGTACGAAGATGACGTCATCGCATTGTCGCAGTGTGACGCCTCCACTGTCGCGTGCGTCCTCCGCGGAGCTGCCTCCTCGCTCACCAGATATCACCCGACGAGCCTTGTCGCCCGACATCTCGCTGAACTTCGCCAGACACCGGCCGCTCTCACCAGACGTCTTGGACTTTAGACCTGTAACCCCAGATTTTCCACGACGCTCCCGCTCCCCGGCTCGACCTAGATCTCTAATGGAGTCGTTGCTGGTGGCCAAAATGGAGGCCTTGAGCACGGGGAAACTGGTCAGAGCGGACTCGATGGATAGTTGCAGCAGCTTCGGGTCTATGTCATCTCTGCCTAGTGATGTTTGCCGATGCGATGATTGCTTGCTCGGAATTGTGGATTTCTACATGCCCAGCCCGGATGAAGTGAATAAGACGCTGAAAAAGGTACGTGTCAATAACCTTTATTTTATTTTTTGTTTACCGGTTTAATTTGGACACTTTTTTACGGCCGTCTGGTGTAGTGGTAAGTGACATGATCACTACACAAGGGGGTCGCGGGTTCGAATCCCGCCAAGGGAAGATATTTGTATGGTAAATATAAATGTCTTTTCCAGGGTTATGGATGTATATTAAATATATGTTTGTGTATAATAAAAAATCTTACATTTATTTCCGTTACCTGTAACACAAGTTCTTTACGACCTTATCACGGGACCAGTTAAAGCGGCGTGATTGTTTAAAAAAAAAAAAAAAAATTTAGCTGCCAGGTCTCAAGATCCAAGATCCAACTAGTTTATGTTTGAGAATTTACTGGTGTGCCCGGAGGCCTTTCCAGTTTTACCAGGGCAGGTGTATTTGGACACTATAGACATTAATCACATCGTGAATGCCGCTAACAAAATAGAAATATAAGGTCTATATCTCAATTGAATACTAATGTGGCTATGCCTCCCTTAAATGTTATTTTTATTGTTGTAATATGTAACAAATTTTAATTAAGCTGTCAATGTTTGAAATGTTTCAATAATACCGATGAAGAATCATATTGTATGTTTGTGTCATCTAGCGCCATCTAGTGCGGATGTTAGATTTGCGGTTGATAGGATTTATTTGATCACGCGCCCTGTAGCGGTAACAGAATGGTCATTTGTACTTTTTAGTACAGAGTAAAGAACATAGATGGCGCTGATCTATGAAGTTCCAAAACTGCAACTTTTTTAAAGCAGATACCATCAATGATCGTATTGTTTAAATCGCCTTAGTTGAAACTAATAATTTTATTGTAGATTTTCTAAATGATGCACTTTGATTTAGCTGTTAATAGTAGAGTTGTCACTGAATAACTCCATGTTTTACAGCCTACAATATACAACAAAAGTGAAGTCTACTATACTGTCAACCAAGTTGATTTCTTGAAGTAGGTACCTACCTACCTATATGAGGGAATCTATACAGAGCCCCTTCTTTAATTCGCCATAAAATCGTGTTTTATGTAATTAACACCACAGTTGAAACAATAGGAGTTCTATTGTTGTAGCGGCATAAACAATTCTAAGTTATTATATTATATTAGTTAATAAACACATTATATTTTATTTTACGTTAAATTTTCAGCGGTATTTTTTTAAAAGGGATTTTATGACCTGGTAACTGAGACCTTTAAGTCAGGTCTTATTTTAATTTATATTCTTATTTTTATGAAAAATAATAGTAATGAAATGAAGATGATTAATTTGAGACGTTAATCAACTGGGATGAAATTAAATGAAATGAGATGGGATGAAATATAATCTCAGTAAAATGGTGGTCATTTACTGAGATTTTTTGAGTGGACTTTTTGGAGGATCACGAGAAGTTACGTCCAGCGGCTTTGTTTCATTTTCCCACATTTGTGCACTTTCACAGATATTAAACAGTTAATAAACCACCATTATTACACATTTAAACCCGAAGAAACACTAAATAGAAAAATAAAACAAATCACACAACTTCACTCCTCGCGTTCCCGCCTTTTCGGCGGTAAAAAGGTCTCGTGTCACAGACTATCATCTTCCTTTCCCACATCTCGTGCGTTCCGGCGTACGCATCATAAAAATGTGCGTTCATCAATGCCACATATATTTATATAGTAAACTGGTTATATTTTGAATACTTTTAATACAGTTATATAAAATAAGCGGGCATAATGATCAGTCAATCTCATAAATAATTCAGTTGCTGACTTAGTTTGTTCAATATTTTTTTAAGTTTCAACGGGCTGATCATATAATACATCTACGATCAGTAATCAAGGTGGGAATTAAAGAGGAATAGATGGAGCTTGGCATAAATTAAATGAGGATGCAGCGAAAGTTGCAGGACGAGGTGGCACACTCATATTGCTTGATAAGAGATAACAAAACAGGCAATCATTATGGCATAAAGAAATCACTTTAGAATTCATGTTGGGTCAATAAATTTGTCGTTCCTTCAGGCTGAGTCCCTACTCGTCCACCTGTCCTGGTGAAAATGGGAAGACCTCTGGGCTAAAATTCTCTTTTTTTTTCACATGTCTAACAAATCTCGACACCACTAAAATACTCGTAAGTACAGTTGTTTTTCTCTTTTCTTTGGATGTGTCATTCATTCTTGGGACATTCGACTTGTAGACTATACATACCTTAACTATACATAGTATTTGAACTTTTAATCTATACTAATATATAAATCTACAGTGGTTTTTACGGATGTTCCGTTATAACTAATGAACCATGCATCCGATTGACTTGAAACCTGGTATCCATGTAGAAAATACATGTACTTACATTAACTTAATTAATATTAAATATATGAGTGTTGGACTCCCTAATAATAATGCCAATAAATAATAATGTTAATTTTAAATGCCCAGCGAAGCGGGCGAGTACGGCAAGTAATATTATAAAAGTGTTTGTTTATCTTTCGTTCGTGTGGAAACCGAGCAATGGTTAAAATATTTTTTTACAGTGATAGTGTTAAGTCAGGAGAATGACATAAGCTACCTTTTATCCTGAAAAAACTTGTCATTCCCGCGGGTAACTATATCGACACTCTCCCTTGACCATATGGGCGAAGTTGCGGATAAATAGGTAGATACTATTACAGAACCAATAGTAAATCAATTGTTTAAGGGCGAGTCGTTATAATATACTTTAACCCCTTGTGTGAGTGAAGGTAGTGATGGTGGGTGGCATTAACGTTGTGATGTCTATAGGATCTGGTTGGGCCCGTAAATATCACCCCACTATTGGTGTTTATTAAATTAAGGATGTAGATTGCAGACAATAATAGTTTGAAATAAAATGTATTCAAATTTAGGCAAGATCAAAGTGAAATCCGTGATTCGTGTCACTTGACAATGAAATGCATACGTATATATTTAATAAATATAATTTAATTTATTTTTCCTTCTTTCCTACTTATTTTTTTTTAATAAATAGATAATTTTTAATTTTATTATTTTTTTATTTCAAAAATATTTTAAATTACATATTTCGCACGCCTATATTTCGCAACAAATTAAAGAGCGGACGGTTAGCGTGGTATGGACATGTGATGCATAGAGAAAAGATGCATGTGACTAGGAGATGTATGGAAATGGTAGTGCAAGGTAGAGGGGGAAGAGGTCGACCGAAGAAGAGGTCGATCGACATGGATGGAGTGTGTGAATGACGATATGAGAGAGAGAGGAGTGAGTGTTGAGATGACGGCTGATAGAAGAGAATGGAAGAGAAAAATTAGCTGTGCCGACCACATCTAGTGGGATAAGGTGGAGGAAAAGAAGAGATTTCGTATGCGTAATTATAATGCGAAGTATTAAATCGATGGGAGAAAGCGGAAATGTCTTGCATTTTTGGCTGAATCACTTTATACCATATTCTTTTCTCGTTTAAACAACATACCGCTTCGAATGATTTGGGTCTCGTTTTCTTAAGAATAAAATGTTCATCTTTTTTTTCATCAAATTTTATAACAATTTTCAATTTTCTATCTCTATAAATATAATAATTATGAGTTATGAATTTTTTAAATAGTTGTATGCCTCTGGTGTTAATTTGGGTTTTTCAAGTTCACTTTATTATACTTAATTTTCAAGTAAATTTTCAACGGTAGGTAGCGGCTTGGCTCTGCTCCTGGCAGTGCTGAAGTCTATACGCGGCGGTAACTACTCACCGTCAGGTGGGCCGTATGGTCGTCTGCCTACAAGAGCAATAAAAAATAAATAAATAAAGTTACGCAAAATTTCGCTTTTTTCCGTCGATATATTGTAGCGATAAAAGACAAGGGAGTCTGCGTTAGAAATTTAATCAAGGCTCTTCTTATATTACATGAAATGCAATGATATGTGCTATGTGTCGTTCATTGAAAGAACAAGACTATGAAATATAAGATATGACAGCGATGTATGATTTCGTGGAGGTTTCAATGGAGTATTCGATGGAAACGTTTCAGGATTGCACACTCTGTATGCTTAGTGAGAGTTTTTTAACGTTGTCTATAGCGTAAAAGTTAACTTAAATTTGTATGCACTTGGAACAGCACCCTCAGTTAGTGGCAAACGTAGGCAAACATTCCTACTCCATACAAATTTGAGCATACCGAACTTAAGCTGCATTGAAAAGGAGAAAGAGCGAAATATGCACTCTATTTACAACATGAGCCGCGACATCCTTTATTAAGAAGGGGCCTATTTAATTATTTAAAATACTAGCGACCCGCCCTCGCTTCGCTTCGGAAACTGTAATTTATTATTGATTTATTCACTATTTAATGGATGTTATTATACACATAAACCTTCCTCTTCAATCGCTCTATCTATTAAAAAAAAAAACGCATCAAAATCCGTTGCCTAGTTTTAAAGATTTAAGCATACATAGGGACAGACAGATTAAGGGACAGAGAAAGCGACTTTGTTTTATACTATGTAGTGATTATTATAATGAGTTAGATCCTTTATTTTAAAATATGAAAAACATCATTTTCATCAACGTCCCCGCGGTTGGACTTATGTAGTTTTTTTTATTGGGCACACAAATCAATGCGTTCCGTATCGACTCAGATTAACAATTGAACTGTAATCCGCATATTTCTGTCGAGTCACTCTCTTTAGTGTTGCTACTTCAGTGATGTTCTTATTAAGTTCACATTAAAATGATTAGCACGTAACATCTCTCCGAGTCGGCAGTCGGCACCCTATTAAACGTCTTCTTTGCGAATACCCATTTTCTAATCTATGAAATAAAATTCAATTTTGCATGACAACATGATGGTTCGAATTCGTTTGAGATTGGAATAATTATTTTAATTATGTTTTAAATAAAGGGCATAGAGTTGAGTTTTGTTTGCTTAGAGTTATCTCGTTGGAATTGTTGGAATTATGGCCTGTGACGTCATAGGACACGGCTCAGATGCCTTGCCTTCGGTTTGTGCGTCAGAAAGACGTCAATCGCTCTCTTTTGAACCTTTCCAGTTTAGTTTTTTGGGATGCAGGCCTCGAGGCTCCGTTATGGTCTTGGTTCCGAGGTAATTGTATGTTCATTCGTTTGTTACGTCCAAAGAATAAATTATTGTTGTTGTCAGCTTTTGTTCGAATAGTGTACTCTAGCTTAAATGGTTTCATTGATATTATGAAATAATCTATATGTATTAACCTTAATCAACGGACTCTCTGAAGCTAAGTGATAACTTGAGGTCATTGTTATCACAATAAGAATTCCATTACAGTGAAATTTGAGGTCGAAGTGTCAATTAAATTGTACTAGGCTCGTTTCGCGGTTTTACATGCGTTTTATTTATGATTCAGAAAGAAATAAGCACATTGCATTTTCGCGGGATTGTTGTTTTGCTTGTGTACTCTATGATCCATAAGCTATCAACCGGTCATCGTTCTCGTCGAAACCGTCGCTTGCGACGAAGGGCTCGACGAGTAAATTAACCCTCAGACACAGCCCACTGAGTTTCTCGCCGGATCTTCTCAGTGGGTCGCGTTCCGATCCGGTGGTAGATTCTGCGAAGCACGGCTCTTGCTAGGATTCGTGCTAGCAACGTCGTCAGGTTTCAGCCCCGTGAGCTCACCTACTAGTTAAAGTTACGCTGAAATAGCCTCTCAAGGCTATCAGATTAGGTAGGAAAAAAAAAGATCTTTCCTTTCGTCGTATACTCCTACAAATGAAAGTAAATTCGATTGCTTTCTAGTTAGAATAATAAGATTAGTCTTTAAAGAACCAATTATTCATTAGAGTTTACGTGCCAATATATTATAATACGTATTTCGATTAAACGTCTCACAATGAAGCCTTGTTCGGACTAGGCGAGTATTTTAGTAAAAGGTAAAAAAGGTATCAATAGATGAATACAGTGGTCGGCAACCCGTATGTGGCTCTTTGACTGCATGGCTCCGGCTTTTCCACGAAAACTACTGTTGGTAGGACCTCTTGCGAGTCCGCGCGGGTAGGTACTACCACCCTGCCTATTTCTGCCGTGAAGCAGCAATTCGTTTCGGTTTGAAGGGCAGAGCAGCCGATGTAACTACACTGAGACCTTAAACTTATATCTCAAGGTGGGTGGGGCATTTACGTTGTAGATATCTATGGGCTCCAGTAACCATTTAACACCAGATGGGCTGTGAGCTCGTCCACCCCTCTAAGCAATAAAAAAAAATGTTTTGTTCAGGCATAGAATGTTACCTATTATCTTGTCTTAGAAGACGAATAAACATTTTTGAAACGCGAGGCTATAAAAGTATATTCCAGATGTTAAAAAAAAATTGCTCTTTCAATAAGTTTCCATTGTGTGCTATTTATATTTGGCTCTTTTGGTTGACAAAGTTGCCGACCACTGGATAAATAGATCTGATTGTATGTAGAAACATAAACTAGCAAAAACAATGCTAGATGTATTATTATATGAGACAGTAACATACATCATTCTGAAGAATTCTATTTCGTTTTCTCGAAGGCTAAATCCTGTAGATGTAAATGTTATAGTGTCGTTTTCGAGTGCCATATCCTTACATTCATAAATCACAATGTAGTTATATACGAAGTTTTCATTTCAAAATTTCTCGATACAAGCTAATTGATATAAATGATCAATATAAAAATAAGATCGAGAAATAAACGGCTAAAATTAATTAAATACCGATTATGTAACAATTAATGCTGATGAAATGGCAATATAAATTACACGTGTGTGTCATTGAGGTGTCGCAAATTGAACGTAATGATATTTAATACATAACGATGTTGTTGTGGTTTTGTATCTTGGTTGAGAATAATAAATAAACAACAAAATAAAATAAAAACGGTATTTTTACAACTTTCATAACTATTAGAATTTTATTCTTACATGTATGTGCATATATCCGTAGCCACTAGGAAAAAGGCTCTAATAATGGACTATTTGTCTGTCAATTCGATATAACTGTTAAAACTAGAAAGTATAGAGTTAAATATCCACGCGGCTTTTTTTTCCTACCTAAGCTGATAGTCTTGAGA